TCTTACTTTTCCTTTTTTTCCTTTTTCTGGTGTAAAATTTGAGTGAAGCAATTTTCTCTGCTTTATTTGTTTGCTTAAAATTATCTCAGCTCTGTTCACTGACTAATCTTTTTTTTCCCTCCCCTCTAAGTTGGAATACCAGTGCTGTGCTAAAATCTTACATATACTAGCTTCTGCTTTTAAGTTATATAAAGTATGTATTACTTTTTAAATTATATATATTTATATTTTAATATCTGAAAGAAGTTGCCCATTGTTGCACTTCGTCGTCAGATTTTACTTGAATATTCTTGCCTGCTGATTTTTAAAGATGAAATTTGGAATTACAGTTCAACACCATAAAATCATCCTATAGGATTTTGACTGAAGTTGTATTAGACTATTAATTTCCTAAGAATGTAAACCTTCTACATTATTCAATTTCTACAACTAGGCTGTGGTATTCTTTTATTTATGTATTTTTTATATATATTAAAATATACTTAATATACGTAAAAAAGACTTACGTATAAGTTTTTTTTCCTGTCCATCAGCAAAATTTTATGGCTTTTTTTTTTAAACAAGGGTCTTAGATTTTTAAATAATTGTTATTTCTAGTTTTTGTTTTGGGGATAGATTTCCCCCTACTGTGTTTTCAAAATGCCTATTTTCAGTGAACAGATAAACTATTAATGTTTTAACATTTATTTTGTATTTGGACACTTTGTTAAGTGCTTTTATTTTTGTTAATTTCTCATTTGATTCACCTAAGTTTTCTAAGAATGAAGTCATATTAAATTCACATGATGGTGATTGTGCTTACTCCTTTAAAATAACTGTTTCTCTTAATCTGATTTTATGTTTTATTGCATTGCTTATAATCATTAAAAAAAATTCTTAACAACCACAAAAGAAGAAAGCAACATCTTTTGTCTGCATGAATGATAAGAAAGAAGGCCGAGTATATTGGCCCATGCCTGTAATCTCAACACTGTGGGAGGCTGAGGTGGGAGGATTGATTGAACCCAAGAGTTTGAGACCAGCCTCAGCAACATGGTGAAACCCTGTCTCTACAAAAACAAAAATTAGCTGGACGTGGTGGTGCACACCTGTAGTCCCAGATACTTGGGAGACTGAAGTGGAAGGATCACCTGAGCCTAGGGAAGTCGAGGTTTCATTACAAACCCCGATCATGCCACTGCACTCCAGTCTAGGAGACAGAGTGAGACCCTGTCTCAGGAAAAAAAAAAAAAAAAAAAAAAAAAAAAGATGAGAAAGAATACTTTGGTTTTCTTTTTCCTGCCCACTGCCTTTTTTGGTCGTTTCACATTTTTTTTTTCTCTATGAAGACTTATTTTAAAAGTTTTAATTCATTTATTTTCTGATTATTTTTGTAGGAAGTGTATCATGTTCTGATAGTCTTAATGCTTAACATTAGTCATTTTATATTATGACTTTCCCATAGTCAAGAAATTTGATTCATTTCTTAATAATCTGAAATATTTGTGTGTGATATGTCTTCTGAGGTTTTGTTTACAGGAGGACATCATTTGTTTCTTTTAATCACAAATTGTAACTTGGCTGGATATAGAATTCTTATGTTAAAATCTTTTCCCCTAAAAACTTCATAACTTCATAGATTTTGCTTCACTTTCTTTGGTATTCAGTGTTACAGAAAACAAAGTGTAAATATAACTGAATTTTTCTCCCATGCCTGAAATCCATACTTTTTGCTCTGTAATATTTAAATTTTAGTCATATCGAGAGGTGAAGCCAGCTCAACTTCCTGGGTCAAGTAGGGACTTGGAGAACTTTTCTGTCTAGCTAAAGGATTGTAAATGCACCAATCAGTGCTCTGTGTCTAGCTAAAGGTTTGTAAACGCACCAATCAGCACTCTGTAAAAATGCACCAATCAGCAGTCTGTGTCTAAAGGATTGTAAATGCACCAATCAGCACCATGTCTAGCTAAAAGATTGTAAATGCACCAATCAGCACTCTGTAAAAACGCACCAATCAGCGCTCTGTGTCTAGCTAAAGGTTTATAAGTGCACCAATCAGCACTCTGTAAAAACGGACCAATCAGCATTCTGTAAAATGGACCAATCAGCAGGATGTGGGTGGGGCCAAATAAGGGAACAAAAGCTGGTCACCCCAGCCAGCAGCAGCAACCCGCTGGGATTTCCTTCCACACTGTGGAAGCTTTGTTCTTTTACTCTTCACAGTAAATCTTGCTGTTGGTCATTCTTTAGGGCTGCATTACCTTTATGAGCTGTAACATTCACTGTGGAGGTCTGCAGCTTCACTCCCCAAGTCAGCCAGACCACAAACCCAGCAGGAGGAACAAACAACTCCTGACGTGCCACCTTTAAGATATGTAACACTCATTGCAAAGGTCTGCGGCTTCACTCCTGAAGTCAGCAAGACCACCGGAAGGAAGAAACTCCAGACACATCTGAACATCTGAAGGAACGAACTCCAGACACACCATCTTTAAGAACTGTAACACTCACTGTGAGGGTCCACGGCTTCATTCTTGAAGTCAGCGAGACCAAGAACCCACTGGAAGGAACCAATTACGGAAACAATATTGTTCATAAACTCTGCCTTATCCTAGGTCAGCCTACTTTATCTGAAGATGTGGATCTTTATTTGGAACAGGAAAGTTTTCTTCTATTTTTTGATAATTGCTTAAGGTTAATGTATTCTAGGATTCTTCTCCAATAATGCCAATAATGTATAGGTTTAATATCTAATGTCTTGACATTCTAAATGTTTAACTTTTCTCCATACACTTTATCTCTTTTCCTTTCTCCGCATCCTATGAGATCTTCTCCACCTAGTCTGCCCTAATACTGATTTGAATTTCTGTAATATTGAGTCTTTTTGCTTTCTTACCTTCTCTCCTCTTGTCATTCAGCTCTCTCTTCATCCTCACTTGAAACCCTATTTCTTCTCTCACTAGCAGCTATACAACTTTGGTTATTATATTTAACCTCTTTGTTCTCCATTTTTCTCATCAACAAAAGGGGGACAATAATTATTTCCACAGAACAAAATTAGATTGTTTTTGAGAACTTTTAGAAAAATACACAGTCCCTAGAAATGTGTCAGTACGTTTTAGTCAATGTTACTGTCATCAGCAGCCTCAGCATCTCTCCTGTATCTCAGCAATACTCTTTTCCTTTAAGCTGTGATTGTCTCATTTCTGTGTGTATCTGTGTGTATATTTATGGAAGTCATATTTTTTGAATTTGGGGGGAACACAACACAGATATTTTGAAAATGTACTCCTGTTGTAAATCTTTTTCAAAATTTTCACCTTGAGTACAATGTACCCTTTTTTATGTTGTACAGTATTTTCATAAGCTTTACATTGTTGCCATTGTTGATTTTTCTATTTATATTTCCTTGTACAAGCAGAGATCTTTTGATAACAGAATAGGTTAGTTCTCTTTGGTCACCCTAGACATCTGCTTGGGAGCTGTCAGAATCCTCCCTCAACACTTAAGTTGAAGGATTGGTTTGTATGCAGAGTATTTAATCAAATTGCTTCTGACTGGATGGTATTTGGCAGGAGTAAGGCTGCATTTAAGACTACTCTCCTGTTGGTCCTCTCTGACTATCCTATTCTATAGAGGGGAATATATTTTTGGATAATTTCAATTATTATTAAATTCAGTCCATTTGTCCCTTACTCAAAATACTGGGTGAAAAGCTGCACTTTTTGAATTTCATCGCTCCATCACTCTTCTTGTCTTGGCTCATATTACTGATGCATTTGCCAGATGCAAGGCGTCATAACATGCCCATCCCCAACCCCTGCCATTCTGCCTTGTTGTGAGTTATAGCCTCTAAACAGATCTATAAACAGAAGTATTGATGGTCATTTGGAGGGATGATGTGAACTTGGCACCTGCATTTTGGGGGAACAGGCTTTTGGCCCTCTAATAGGTGAAAGTCATACAGGCAGGTGTGTAGAAACCTCTCACTTTCTTCCTGCTTGCTTTTATTATTTTGTCTCAAAGTTTTATTCACATTTTAATGGAATTGCCCTCAAGGGTCTGGCAGCATGTTGACTAATCTTTCTAGTACCATTGACACTGTATCTCTACAGTGTTTTTATGAGTAAGTATTCAAGACAAATTGAGAGAAGTTTAATAAGGCCTCTCTAGGAAGCTTTAAAATGTATCAGTTGAAAACAAAAGACTTTTTAATCACAGTATCATAGAGCCAGTGAAGTCTTAGACCAAAATTTTCATTTTATCATTGAAGAGACTCTTTTGAAGCAAAGTTACCTGTCTGAAGTAACAAAGAGGCCAGAGCCTGGGTCTTCTCACCTTTTGTTATTCTAGTTCCTTGGTCATTAAAAAAATTATTTTTAGCTATTTTGAGAAGTCTAGATTTTCAATCCAGTTTTTTATCATATTTAGGAATTTCTTAAATAGCGAGAAGTTTTCTTCCATGAAAAAATATGGAACTACAAGGTAAACTTCACTGGAGAGTCCTGAAGCTCCTCATTGTTTAAGCACTTTAGGGAACATTTGTATACCCTTCTTCCCATCCCTTCTACACCTATGTTTAACTATCAGTGGGCAAATAATCAAACTGGGATAACAGTTCTCTTAGAAGAGTTGGTTCTTGGGCCGGGCGCGGTGGCTCAAGCCTGTAATCCCAGCACTTTGGGAGGCCGAGACGGGCGGATCACGAGGTCAGGAGATCGAGACCATCCTGGCTAACACGGTGAAACCCCGTCTCTACTAAAAATACAAAAAACTAGCCAGGCGAGGTGGCGGGCGCCTGTAGTCCCAGCTATTCCGGAGGCTGAGGCAGGAGAATCGCATAAACCCGGGAGGCGGAGCTTGCAGTGAGCTGAGATCCGGCCACTGCAGTCCAGCCCGGGCTACAGAGCAAGACTCCGTCTCAAAAAAAAAAAAAAAAAAAAAAAGAAGAGTTGGTTCTTTGATACATGATCATATTGTGTCATTCCATATTCAAATGTGGCTGTTCCTCTGTGTCTCAGCTGCTGCAAGACTGCTCCTCTCGTCTCAAAATGACCCACCCAGCTAGAGCACTGTACACCCCCAATGGAGAGCCAATTCAGTCCTGGGACGACATAGAGCGAGATATGGTCATCTGTGTGTCTATGGGACATGGTTTCAAAACCCCAAAAGGTATGTGTGATACTTTCTTTTCCATCAAGTTTTTGAAGAATTAAAGCATTCAGTCTTCTCTTCGAAGAGCTTATATCCCATCACAATGACCTTTAATAATTATCCTCCCCCAAGCATTTCTACTCCATGTTATGGAAGTTAAATTTATATATTTATGTGCTGGAACCTCGTGTTAACACTATTTGCTCTGGAGAATTCAATCGTATTTCAGTTAATCTTGAACCTTATCCAGGGGGCTTATTTGCAGAAATACCGAGAGCCTCATTTGAAGGTATTCCCCTAGTAGGAACCCTGAGGAAAGTGAAGCTCCACTGATTTCCTATTTTTCAAATTATTTAAAACGTAATGTTTTATTAATAGTAATTATATGGTTTGTAGTTTCTTTTCTTTAGTAATAAGTAAATATTTTCTAGAGTTATTATCTTGTCTATTCCTTGGTAATATTCTTTGATAAATGACAGAAATTGAAAAGGACATAGATTTGTTATTGAATGAACTCTAGTTCTTTATCCTAAATACCCTGATGAATTTAAAGCCTGTTTTTGTACGTAGGTATATATTAGCAAAGATATAATTTTTGGGAGATTCCAAAGAACATTGTTATCACTCTGAAGGAAACTAAAAGATTAGGTAATGAATTGCCTGGCATTCCTATATTAGTAATAGTATTTTCTTTTAAGAAGTCACCATAAAATTATTATTACTATGTTATATGTAATGTAGGCAAACCAAAAACTTCAAAACAGTTGCGATTGTATCTTTACATTTTGCCCAGAAGGGACAAACGGATGGAAATAGAGACCAAAAGGTAGGGAGACAGGATTTATTAGGATGCCTAGCACTGTTCTGAGGGAAGCCACAAATATTCCCCCTGCACCATCCTACATTATGGATGAGGCGCCAGTCCTTTTATTCTTTGTTTTCTGCTGTTCCCATCACCCATCACTACGCATCACCCTGGCTCTTGGTGACCCTCACTACATGGGTACTTAGAAGAACACACCAATGATGAGGTCCTTATTATCAGTAAGTATTAGTTAATAGCTTTCTGTATCCCCAAAGTATGTAGGTTATAAAATAAACATAAGCTAGGCTCCTCTTCTGAGAGTTTTCAATCTAATTAAGAATATGAACACACATGAAATAATTAGAGTACAATCGAATAGTGAGCAAATGTGTTTAGTAGGAGGTACCTTCCCAGTCCCTTCATTATCTGGGCTTAGTCTTTCATATTCCTGGGATGGGCTTCTGTTGCCTGTACCACACCTTCCTTGCAGTATTGTATTCATTGAGCCTGTGTGATAAATAAAGCTAAATATGCTTCAGGCAAGCTAGCCAAAAGGGTATCCAATGACAGAGGGAGATGTCGGCTGCCTTCCCAGAAACAAACTTGTCAACAATAAAAACTGACTGGAAGAGAAAAAAAAAATGGAAATACAAATATTACACTTTCTATCATTTGCCTCCATGTTAGCTCTGTGTATCTTTGATAAAGCTGTGGAGACGAATGTTCATTTTTGCATCTTCAATTCTATAAATACATAGATTACCATCATATGAAAGTTTATTCCTTTCTTATAACAATAGGTTCCCTATGTTACCTTCATGGTGAAAGGATTAGTGGTTTCCTCCTATTGTCTTAGTTCTTTCCAATGAGCTATATGTGTTCTAGGAAATTACAGGAAGTCTCTGATTGCAGAAAGTCTGATTTAGTCGTTCTTTAGAAACTTATTTTACTCTTGCCATTTAATTTTTTTCCTGAAATAATTAAGTTAGTAATAATCATTTATTAGAAATCTAAATATTCAGAATGCTTTAAAAAAGAAAAGATAGAAATGCAACTATATGCCTATATCCATTAAGGGACATTTAATTAATTAATCATTCCACTCATGATTTTTCTGTGACCTACTGGCTTAAGTATGTAGGAAGAAAATAAAGCAGTCTGGGAGTTTCAAAACCACTCTATAATAACTTATTTTATGAATTATAATACCAAAGAACATTTAGTATGTGAAAGTCATCAAAGAATCACATTGGGTTTTTAAAAGAATCAACTGGATTTTGCAAAACAAACCAGAAGCTATTAGAATGGCTTCCCTGACGAAATTAAAAGAGTGTTTTATGCCATTTGCCATAAAATCTGAACACTGTTCTCACTGCTGCTTTCTGTCTTTTCAGTGGGTCCAATTTTTAGACCAGCCCTAGGTTAACTTCCAATTCAGGCTTCGTAATAAACCTGGAAATAAGTCCTCTCTAGCAACTTCCACTCTCTAGCAATCCAAAGACTATTAACACATATCTGATGTGATAAGAAGTCAAAGTTGTAATGAGAGAGCCCAGGGTAGGAGCCAAGGATTTGTGAGGGGTCTTCAAGTTTTTCATCATCCTGGACTTTTAATTCTTTTCTATAACATTGACTTGTCTCTCAACCTCTTCTTCTTCTTCTTTTTTTTTTTTTAAACAGAGTTAAAACAACTGATGGAGATCAGAGCAAATTATGTCAGAATCCGAAGGCAGCAGGGCCCTCAAGCCACAGACATTATGGTGTCACCATCCACAAAGCTGCTGTCTCTGGCACATCTCCACAATTAACTCCTATCAGAACCATTGGATTTTCTGCTGTATTTTGCTGGTATAGCTATGTGCACGTAGTCATGTTTGTTATGACATTATGATTATTTATCTCTTTTATTTTCATGCAGTTTCCCCCTTTCTTTTCTGAGACAGGTTCTTGCTCTGTCGCCCAGGCTGGAGTGTAGTGGCACAATCACAGCTTACTGCACCCTTGACCTCCCGGGGCTCATGTGATCCTCCCATCTCAACCTCCCAAGAAAATGGGACTACAGTCACGCACCACTATGCCCAGCTAATATTTATATTTTTTGTAGAGATGGGCTTTTGCCTTGTTGCCCAGGCTGGTCTTGAACTCCTGAGCTCACGCAATCCTCCCACCTCGACATCACAAAGTGCTGGGATTGTAGGCATAAGCCACTGCACCCAGCCCTATGCGATCTTTTATAAAGGTTATTACCCTCCGCATTTTACATAAAGTGACATTTGATGCCTCAAATTTGTTCCTGGAAAGACAACAAAACTAGACAAAATAATGCCAGCAAAATAACTATCATCGGTGTATGTTCTTCCAAGAAAAAAAGGAAACTACTAGTCATTAGTGAAATAAATTTCACAGGATCAAATAGCTTATGTAAAATGCTTTTTATGTATAATCAAACATTCCATCAAACATTCCATATATCAAATAGAAAATATGTTCCATATATGGAATGTTTGAAAATACAGAAAGACTCTGACCACTAAACACTAAATTTGACCCTAGCTGATACTTTCTGGCTCGGCCACCATATTTTCCAAACCTCCATATTAAAATCCTTAATATACTGAATACAAATCAAATGGCTGGTGGCCACCAAATGCCACACAAATCAATCCTTTCTTCTCCAATTTCTCATCAGTTTCACCTGTAGTAACTGTGCAGGACCTTTTATGGGGTATAGTTAGATTCTGTTCATGAGAGTAAAGCTTGGCAATTCCCAATATATGCCCAGTGATCAAAAGTCATAGACTTTGTCCTCAATACAAAAACTTAGGGAAAGGATATATGCACTATTTAAAATAAAAATTATGGAAGGTTTATTTTTAAAAAAGAAATCAGGGGAGATCCCTAGCAGTCTTAGGTATTAATCCTACAGGAAGGGAAGAATTTACAAGAAGAAAGAACCATTAAAAAAAAAAATGGCAGTGACAAATCAGAGTTTAGTTTCTGCTTTTGGTGAAAAATTTCCAGAGAAATGCTCTTCTTCCCTGTCTTCCTCTGAAAACCACTCACAACTCCGTATGAATATAAACTGCACTCTGGCTAGGTGTGTACAGAATGGCTCAGCTGGGCTCACATCTCAATCCTCCACTTTAATGTGATGCAGGAAGGCAGTATATCATTTCTACTGAAGGGGGCTCTTGGAAATCGCTGCAAAACGCCTAGTATTTACTCCTAGTCTGCAAATCAGTAGGGCTGCATGAATAAATTCCTGCTGCCTCTGACACCACTAAAAGCAAAGCACATTGAGGTGAAATTTCACATGTTACATCAACAGCAATTTGCCCTTTTACAGACATTTTCTCTGTGTGTTGTGCGATGTTAGAGATGTGAAGGTATTCCAATGAAGCTGTGTGCCATATAGGAGAAAAAGATTGCATGTGACTTGTGTTTTGCCTTTTCTTTCTTTCTTTCCTTTTTAAAGCAAGCAAGTCAAAACAAGAAGGGTTAAAAAAACTTGCTCCCCATTGGAAAGGGAGCCAAGAGGACTCTTGCCAGTTGGGCCTCTCCCTAGAATGACTCAATCACAATGTCTCTATCGACAATTTTTTTTTCATTCCTTGAAAACGAAGACATGTCTCTAGGTGCAAAAGTACCTATCACTCTCCTGCCAGGGAAAAGTTGATTTGCTATGAAAATGGCATAATTTCACCCTGGATCAAATGTGCAAATTCTCGTGAAGTCGTCACTGTTGCATGTGAATACGCCTGAAGCGAAAATTGGTAATATCACACAACGCTGTATCAAGCACCAGGAGACATAAGGCAAAAGTCTTAACTGAGCTTTTCTATTACTAGTAAATGGGATTTTAGATGTAATGTAACAGTCATCAACACATCACATTTTACCAGCAAGGCAGCAACACTTGCTTTGTAGACGACAGCTAGCCCTGGGTATCTTGGTAGTTCATAGCCACTTTTAGCTTAGACTAAAAACAGCCCTGCTCTTGCCTTACTCTTGACCTTCCTCTCTGATTGGCTGAAAGGTGGACTGTGGAGCAGTTTCTCTACCTTCAGCAAGGACTGTAGGATAAGACCATTGCAATTCTGTTCAGCCATTCTAGGGTTTTAATAAATGCAGTAATTTCCTTTGGGAACATGTTTATCAAATTTGAATCAGCCTCATATATATAAGTCAGATTTCAGTATTTTTCTATCAACTGAAAACGATTTATTATTAAATACTAAAGCAACCATCCCTAAGTCCATGGCCTTCTCCAAAAATTTATTTCCTGCTGGTTCACAAACACCCTTAAGGTGATCCAGATGTTAATCAACAGTGTAGAAGCATTTGGGATTTTCCTCAGGAGAATTGAATTTTTCTGCCCACCTCTCTAGCTTTTGTGGCCTGATTAAGTGTTGGGGTAAAGTTGCATGTTTCTAAGCAAGTAAACTAAAAGCAATATGCCTGAAAGTCTGGCAGTCTTTCTGAGAATAAACTAACAGTATTTATAAATAAGAAGCATTTTATCTGGATGCTTATGTTAGCTTTGTAAAACAGGATATATTAGTAATGATTCAAAATGCAAAGGTAGCTTTGAAGGGCAATAACCCTGAATCTCTGTTTTTTTCCTTGATTGTTTATCATAACTAAATATTGTTTTTCTAATTAAAAAAACAAAGCAACGATCAAATGACAGCAGAAGGATAAATATAAATGTATTAATTTGTCAGAGACTCACTTAGCAATTGTGGCTCCTGGCTGTTGCAGCATTTGTGAGCTAACCTTCAATAACAGCCCAGGGGTGCTGAGAGCCATTGAGAGATTCGTGGTTCACCATGGCAGCAGTTTTTTTTTTTTTTTTTTTTTTTTTTTTTTTTTTTTTTTTGCATCATTTGGAAGCGAATGATCAAAACACACAAATCTGCATTATTCTAGTACATCACAAAATCAGATGCAAATGTCCCCAGTTATGGGAAATTTAGACTCAGCAATGATTCTCAGTTGTTTCTATTGAATCACTGGTTCTGGTTCCCTCCTGGCTTTGAACATATCTCAACCCGGTGTCCCCTCCATGAGGCCAAGTAAGTAGAAAGAAAGAGTAACAGGTTTGTTCTCAACACAATAAATTAGAATTCTGCATAAATGGTATGGTTTGGGGCTGAGTGGCCATAAGCAACTATAAAGCAAGATCAACAAAGACCACTCAGGAGAAAGCTGATGAAAGTAAACAGACTGACTGTGCAACTGTAGATATTCAGTGGGTGCCTGCTGCCAGCTATAGCATTTTCTAATTCGACGAGTCTGGATTATGAAACTACTATCCATAGGTTGTCACCCTGTACCAAATGTATAAACAGAAATATATGACAGAGGAAATGTATATGCCCATGATGCAACTGGGTTGAAGGAGAGAGGAAGAAAGGTGATGAGAAATTCTATATCTATGGCAAGTAAAATGGTGATTCTGAATTGGGTGTGCTATTGCTGTCTGTGGTATCCCTCTGTGGGCTTGCAGGCAGATATAAGCTTCAGTCCAGCTGTTGGACCTATCAGGTCCTAGCTTGTCAGTCCTAGAGCAGTAATTTCAATACTGGAAACTGATATTAGCGTTTTAGCTCAGGTGCACATACTCAGGAATGTCAGCTCTGTCAGACCAACTGAGGCAGCTGGGTGGTCATCTCTGGTGCCACCACTGCAAGCTGTGTTTTAAAGGAAATTTCCTGAAGGGCAGTGTCCTTTACTCAGCGACTATGCTGGAGAGAGGTGGAGGAGAGGAGGGAACTTCCCAGGGCTCCTAGGTTAGTGCCTCTAAAAATCTAAAATCTGATTATATTGGTCTCATTTCCATTACTTTTTCTCCCTCTTCCCTCCTCCCTCTTCCTCCCTGCCTCTTGGCCTTTTCTCGTCTTCCTGGCCTTTCTCCTCTAAGAGTCTTTGAATCCCATCTTTCATTTAAAAAGTAAAAACTGTTTCCTGGAACAATTTGTGTACTGGCAAGAGATACTTCCTTAATATGATTCTGAAATTTGAGTGTGCACAAGAAACACCTGGTGTGCTAGATAAAATACAGATTTCCAGGCTTGGTCCCAGCACTGGTTATAATCTCTATGCCTGAGGTGATATAAGGAATCTGCATTTTAACAAGCACCTGGGAAGAAGCACCGTCATGACCACAGTGTAAAAAACTTTGCCAAGAGTTTTGGGCCTGCCAGGGACGGCGCTGTTTATTATAAGCAGGGCATGGCCCAAGTGATAAGTACCAGTTTTAAGAACAAAGTCGGTATTCAGGGGCTATGAAGACAATGAAACACTTGCTTTGTATGTGAGTGTTTGAGTCTAAATAGCCTCATGTTTTCTCATCACAGTTCCCTTAAGAAATGATGGAAATGTTCTTGAGTCAGAAATAACCACCCAGAGATTTTAACTAGGACCCAGACATTGGAAGCCTAAACAAGTGAGTTTCAGGTGCTGAAGTTTCCCATGTCCATTAAGCTGCCTTCAATGCTGATAAAATCTTGCTATTTTAAAGGTCACAGGAAGAATATCAGTGCTGTAGTACATATATCATGGAGCAGAGTACTTTTGAGGGTGGGGAAAATAACCAGGTTCCTGGAGTTTTCTTACACATTTTTATATGTACAAAGGAGACCTTTGGAACAAGGACAGGATTTCTATTTTCCATCATTGCTCTTTCTCCTGTGAAGGAGTTACTTGAACCTCTCTTTTCTGTTTGCCCTAAGTCTAGTCAACATGGAAGTCTGAACACCTGCATCCCTGGCAGGTTCACCCAAGAGTGTGAAAATCCACAGGATATTATTTTAGTTCAGTAACAAATTATCTTAGAAAAATGAATT